TACTTTCTCACACCATATGCAAAAATAAACTCAAAATGGATCAAAGACCTACATGTAAGACCTAAGACCATGAAACTGCTAAAAGAAAACATAGGCAGTATGCTTTTTAACATTGTTCTTAGCAGTTGTTGGATCTGTCTCTTTAGGCGAAGGAAACAAAAGCAAAAATAAAGAAATGGAACTACATCAAACTAAAAAGCTTTTTACACAGCGAAGGATATATAATCACATATACTTTTATATATATAAATTTAATAGTCAATTTAAATATTGAGTGCTACTATACACAGTCATTATTTATCACCATTTAAAATTCTATTATTTAATGAACTTATTTACAAAACAGAAACCGACTCACAGACTTACAGGACGAACTTATGGTTACCGGTGGGGAAAGGTGGGTGGTGAGGATAGATTGGGAGTTTGGGATTGACAGGTACACACTGCTATATTTAAAACAGATAACCAACATGGACCTACTGTATAGCACACAGAACATGACTCAATATTCTACAATAACCTAAATGGGAAAATAATTTGAAAAAGAATAGATACATGTATATGTATAACTGAATCACTTTGCTGTACACCTGAAACTAACACATTATTAATCAAACATGTACCAATACAAAATAAAAATTTAAAAAAATAAAATTAATGTGAAAAAATAAAATTCTATTATTTGAAAAATAGAAGGATATGTTTCTTGTAATATTAAATCTTCATTACTCTCATTTCCCTTTCTTTCAATATTATCATTACCACCCTGTATTTTTATAAAAGATTCTAGCATCTTGAAAATACTTCAATCCTCCTAATAGTGAACGTCTTGGGAATAAAAAGAGTCATTAGTTTACACATAAAGTTAGACCTCAGCCTAATTTAACAGAGACGGTCAGGGTTAAAGCTAGATTTGAGTAATCAATATCCTCTAATAATTCTGACTAAATGAGTTATCCTTTTCAATAATTTTATAAATGTCTTAGTATATGCTGCTTTTTAATATTCCTTTTTTTAAAAATTTCCTCAAATTTTCATCACTTGGGTCAATAAACTTAGGAAAACATAGGTGCAAGACTGGTTTTTCCTCAAAGTTTTTCCAGTTTAGTTTCCCTTTTTTTTGGTGGTGTTATTTTAGATTTCTGTTTGACTTCTTCATTTACATAAACATGAAAATTTTGCACAGCTGCCTCTGACTCCAAAAGACTTCTAGTATTTTTTTCCTATGCTTGCTAACAGGTATCAAAAGCATACTATGTGAAATTATAATTTTAAGTACGTTTACCAGATATTTCTGGGTTTTGAGGACTCCATGATAATGAAACAAATGTGATATCATAGGCACAGTTTTTTAAAAATCCAGAGATTTTGTAAGTAAGATCATGGGATACTTTTAAGATTTTATCTCAATGTAATAAAATAGAGGCATGGAGATCTCTGCAGCCTTGAATTACTAGATGTTTGGTTTTGAATGTGTCAGTTCAATTTGAACGATGTTTTTGAGAATTGAGAACGCATGCACTTATGAGTGTTTGCACTTTCTAATTAAACCAGCTTTATGATCACGTTTCTGACATCACCTGCAAACAAGGTTCTTGCTCACTTCAGGTTCTGACTCTGCTTTGCCCATTTGGGCATCAAAGCATTAACTTTACTGGAATGTCAAAGAAACACAACAACCAGACTGGACAAGGTTCTCAATTCACCTTTGTGCTATCCCCCAGGCAGGCAGCAGACAACATGCAGTAGTAGAGACACATTTTCTTCTATAAATGTATGTGTCACAAAAATGTTGTCCACTGTTCAGCTTTCATTTTTCCTCTGTTTAATAGTGTTCTTGAAAGGTGTCCAGTGGCTTTTTAAAAAAAGTTGAATTCACGTAGGTTATATTTACATTGAAAATGAATATTTACTCGTTCTAGTTCATGTGGTCAATTTATATACCTCCCTGTATTGTTTGTATGCAAAGACCCTACCATCTGAAGAAGTAATTTCCTTTTGAAAATTCAGTAAATCATGCTTTTGCATGGTTTCAATTTGACAGATCTTTTTTTAATGAATAAATTAAAATCTGGATATTGTTACCAGGGGAAAATAGTTTTTTCTAGGTTTTCTAAATTTGGAAATGGGTGCTTCAGGCCAGATGTTCATATGCCTTAAGAAAACATCTCATTTTCAATGGAAAAGAATTTGCTGTATCAAAATCTGTGTCAAATGCCAGGGTAAATATAAATTTTTTGTATTTTGGGTAATCTGTAAGCTGCTGAATGCAAGAGACTGAGAACTAGCGAGTGAGAAGTACATTCTGGGCTTAACCACTCCCCACTCTGCCTCTTCACACACACTTTTTTCTTCTAAGTTCTTGACCTTTATTAGGTTTCCCATCACTATGAATTTGCTCATGTTGAACAATGTGTGAGGCAGAAATAGAGGCCTTCCTATCCTTTTTACATTCATGTTTTTTCACCAGCTTGAAATCTCTGAAGGACGGTAAATTGGCAGCCACTAACAAAGGTTCTTCACATATCCTTTATATTCACAGGGCTCTTTTCTTTTCTTTTATTTTTCTTTTTCTTTTCTCTTTTCTTTTCTTTATATTCACAGGGCTCTTTTCTTTTCTTTTATTTTATTCTACCTCAGAATTCTCTGAGGTAGAATAAAAGGTGCATGTTTTTCATGAGTGGGCATTTCTCCATAGCTGACTGCCTCACACCTGAAATCAAAATGTATGCCATGGTTTTACATCTGCAAAAACTGATCTGTCCTCCTTGGGGTTCCTCTACTGGTGAGGAACAAAGAGAATGCAGAGCTTGCAAAGGGAAAGAACCCTGCAAAAACAGAAGGGCTTCCCCACACACTTGACTTACTTATTTGGAAACAAAATTCTATATCTTCATTCTCTTTCTCTGGTCCATCCTTTACTAATGCGTCCTCATCTTCCTAATCTCTAAATGTTCCAGGGCTTAGTCTTAAGCTTTTCTCTTCTACCTAAATACACTTCCCTTGATGATCTCACTCAATCTCATGGCTTCAAACACCATCTATTTGCTAAAAGCCTGAATCTGTATCTCCAGTCTGTACTTCTCCCTTAATTTCCAGACTCACTTATTTCTATCTGTGTATCTAATAAGATCCTCAAACTTAAGATGTCCAAACTGAGCTCCTGGTCAGTCCCACATTCAAACTTGCTTCTCCCAGTGTTCCTTATTTTAAAAAATAAATTCATTCTTCCAGCTGCTCTAGCCTAAATTCTTCACTCTTCTGTTTCTCACTTCCCACATCCAATCCAACCAGCGAACTGGCTTGTTGGCTCCACCTTCAGATATAATCTGGTCACTTCTCAGCCCTTCCACTAATACCATTATGGCCCAAGTTCTACCATGTCTTGTCTAGATTATTGCAATAGCACCCTAATTAGTTTCTAAACTCCCATTCTTGCTTCCCTAGTCTCAGTATAGAGGTCAGTGGCTCCCCACCTCCCAGAGTAAAAGCCAAAGCTCCTACGATGACCTACAAAACCTTTATGATCTGCTTGCCAAAGAGCTCATCTTAGTTTGTCCTTTCGGACCTGTACCTGGAATGTTGGAGACATTTAACAATTTACTACGTATTTCTCTCCTATAAGATCATAATAATTATTCAGACTACAACTACACTTCCTCAAAAATCAGCTGACTTTTGTGGATCAAAGTGTGAATAGTCAAAGGACCCTAGAGAAGTGGCAAAGAGAGTCATCAACTTAACATTACAAATAATGACAGCAAAGGAGTTGAAAGAAGGTGCCTCTGAGCTAGTCCAATTCACATAGAACTTGTATGTGAAATACAAACAGGCTATAAAATGGTTACATCCAGGAAGGTTTGCAATATAATTTAAGCCCACACCTAAACTGGTTTCAACACATGCTAAAGAAGTACAATGGATGAGAGGAATATTTGATTTTTCCAAGTATGACCCATTGGAGAAAAGTGTTTGCTAACCTGACTAATGTCTAGAAAAGCAATAAATGTCACAGGATAAAAAGAGAACTAAAGGATTCAAATTCTGACTAAGAACCTGAGCTCCATTTAGAAAATGAAAGGAAATGAAGGAAAAGGCAAAAACAAACAAAAAAACCAAAACCCTGATTTTCAAAAATACAACAAAATCACAAAATTATCCACACTAACAAATATAGAGACAATAAATGAATCCGTTTTATCTACCTACTAAATGTCTATGACTAAATGTCAAGGTCCATTAAGCAAAGAATAATACCACAATGCAAAACACCAGAGCAACTCCTACTTTTCAAATTCTTTCATTATTTTACTTAATCTTAATTATGTTCACTTAAAATTACCTGACTGGTCTAATTATTTAAATATCCATTGGTAAGCATGCAAAACACCAAACAGAATCATTTGGTAGGAAACAGGGAAACAGCAGCTTTGATACTGACATTAATTCCTTTAGTATATAACAACTCAAGTGGGGTTTTCTGATGTATCCCTTCTGTCACCCACTCCAACCACAGTCCTGAATATAACTTACATGGGCCATATAAAATTAGCTCAGCTAAACTAGCCTAATCTGACATTACATTATACAAGACAACACCAGGAACTGTGTGAATAGGGCACAAACCATTTAATACTAAGTTTCCAACCAAAACTGGCTCCCCAGTGAATCTCAGTGCCTCAATAAGATCACTTAATGTTCTTTTAAAATTTAAAGCCAAGCAGTAAAATCAGAAACAACATATCATCCGGCTTGCCCAGGAGTTTACAGCAACCAACTAGCACTCAGATAAATTTTCTCTCTGCAAAATAACTTTGCTGCCACTTGGTTATAAAGAATAAAACTTTCTAATGACCTCTAATTCTTGGTTAACATACTATATTTTAAAGTACTTACTTAACAGTAAATGAAGGATGTTTTGTTTTATTGTAACACTCAATAACAAGTCCATAAATTACCGGATAAAAACTAGGAATTTCTTTCCTTTTACATTAGCTTACCCAGTTTAGCGGCGCCCTCTGGTGGGTACTCAGGAAACTGACCCTCGGAAGGAACACTGACAGTTCTCCTCAGGCATCGCCCTTTGGTGGAATCTGTCTGCTGATCCTGTCCTCCCTCCACAGGTATCTAGTAAACCAAGAAAGAGATGAAACTTAATAGTGCCATAACTACCTTGTGATTGAATAACGTTTTTAGTTGATGAAGGTAGGAGTGTGTAATCATCAGAGCAAAACAGAAGAAATGTAGAAATAATGTATGTACAAAGGCTAAAGTTATTACCAACCCTTTATTCAGGAATCTTTTCTTTAAAAAGAAAACTGAAAGATCAGGAAAGGTGAGTATGCAAATTAACTTACATGAAGTATGCACAAATCACATCCAGTTGTGTACCTGCTTAGGGAGCTCAGAAAACAAAACATCCACACAAATAAGATTCCTTTACATCAGAAACTGGTTCACAAGTCCCATTCCTGCCCAATCGTAGGTAAATGGAAATAAAAGTTGACCAGAAAGACTTCACTCCAAAATTCTCTTAAAAGAAGGTTTTGTTAGATAAAAGGAGTAAAATCAACCAAATTTTCTCCAATTTTAAAAGTAAGCACTTAGAGATAGTTAATGAAATACTATACTACCTATACATGTTTTTAGTGTATAGATAGTAATTGATACATAAAATGGCATATTTTATTCCACAAGTGAGATTAGTTTTTGAAATCCTAAAAAATAGTTTTTCTGGCATAACTTTTTTTTCTGTTTGTACATGTGGAATAAGAACTATGTATGGTACAAAAGATCTCTAATTCCATTAAATATTTTACAATTTACACACTGGTTATCACTGTAGAGTAATGGGATGGCTCTAAGTTGCTTTTTTTTTTTTCTTTTCGATTTCGGTAATTCTAAAAGACCAAGTCATCTTACTTTGGGGGTAGAGGGCAAAGACTTTTCACAATGAGATTTTATTAGTAACCTTTATCAGAATCAAGAATAGTATTTGTAACATCTGAAATAGTTTGGCAAAATATGTCAAGAATTATGTTATCAAGGCAGTTGCCCGGGAATCATACCTCCTCCCCTCCCTCCAATGGAAACTAACTACCCTTATCTGAGTTTCATGCTCAATCACAAAAGGAGGAAGCTGCAAACAGAAAAACAAGAACTGGTTAGAGCCAGCTAGGCCCAAGATGGCAGAAAACCTGATCTCCAGTGGACTTGAGCCTCACTGTACGTTCACTGTAATACATTAGCATGCTAAATGACACAACCATGAGCACCATGACAGTTGACAATTGCCATGACAACGGGAAAAGTCCATACAAGGACTGAAAAGGGGTGTTGCCTCAGTACTGGGTCCAAACCACAGCCTTGTTCTCAGATATCTTATGAATACTCCTTCTCTTTACTCAATTCTTTCCCTTTTACCTGGACCCTTCTATATATATGGTGTCTCAGCCCTAATCAGGTTGAGAAGTTGATTTGCGAACTAAATTCCCACACTCTTCCATTCTTTGGCCAGTTTCATTATTGGCTGTGTGAATCTGAGTGGAAAAAGAACCTCTCCGGCTGAGACCCCTCGGCCTAGGCTAGGACCCTGGTGCGGGTCCAGGCAACCAATTCGGTAACAATTAATCATAGTCTCTAATTCTTATGCCTCCAATACAGGCAATTTTAACAAATTTCAATAATAATGACTAGCATTAAATTCTTAGTATGTGCAAGGCTAAGGAATTTACATGTGTGACATTATGAGGAAGCCATTATTATTATCCCCTTTTTACAGATGAGGAATAATTTATCTCTCCAGATGATTACTATGGGCATATCAATTGATATAGCAAAACTGGAATAGATACGGGCTTAAATGTACATGCTTTCTGCTTTGCCTCAGTAATCCAACTCCTAAGACTGGGTGGGGTCAAGGGGATGATACCAAGGGAAGTTTTCTCTGTGCTACTGAGAATTTGAAGAGCAAAATTCTAATGTCTTCATAAGGACTGAAAATTCTCATACTCTTTCCTCATTTCCTCATGACCATAACTACTGTTACTGCTTGCACACTGAGAAACCAAATGGTGGAATTAAGAAAGGTAAAATTCTAAAAAATAAGGGAATATCAAATAATAGCATCAGTAAAGCTAATAAGTCTTCTAAAAGTTCTCTGTAATATAAAACTTTAAGAACAGTAATCTAAGTCATCCACCCCTTTCAGGATGGAAATGATCTCTACATAAATAATTAAAAGAGTAGCACCAAGAGGTTAAATAACTCCCTCCTAGTAAGAAAGGTAAAAATGTATCCTCTACCTGCCTTAGGAAAGAAGGGAGGTAAATTTGGAAAAAAAAAAAAAGTAGTCTGGATCTTTGAACAAACAATGAACATAAATAAACATAACTATTTTTGTAATAGTTCCCCCAAAATTCCTATTCCTGAAATAATGAAGGCCTAAGCCATAGAGAAAAGAGGAGCTATTTTTGACATTTTAGGAGGGAATGAGCTACAATCTCATCTGTGGAAATTTATAAAGGCCATATCCAGGAAAAATAAAGAAATGGTTTCTATTATCATTATACTTTGTCTCTATCATATCTAAGAAGAGAATAAATAAAATATATCAAACTTCTTATTTGGGCCTAAACTTCACTCACAATTATATTCTCAAAGTTTCAATGTAGACTCTTCATTTCCCACTGTTGAAACTTAAAATATGATGAACAGTTTTATTCACAGTATCACTCTTAAAGTTGAGGGCATTTTATCTCTGACTCAGAATATAAGGGAGAATAGTATTTACTTTTATTCTAAACGTGTGTTTCTTTTTTTTTTTTTTTTTTTTTTTGCGTTATGTGGGCCTCTCACTGTCGTGGCCTTTCTCGTTGCGGAGCACAGGCTCCGGACGTGCTGGCCCAGCGGCCATGGCTCACGGGCCCAGCCGCTCCGCGGCATGTGGGATCTTCCCGGACCGGGGCACGAACCCGTGTCCCCTGCATCGGCAGGTGGACTCTCAACCACTGCGCCACCAGGGAAGCCCTAAACGTGTGTTTCTTAAGAATCATTTGCTTTTACACCACCACTGACTGTTTGTTACATAAATAATTCTTTTAAAGACACTGACCTGTTTCTTAAAAGTTAGTATAATATTTCAAGTATCTTCAAATGAACTAAGCTGGAGTTTACAAATCTTAGTATACAGCCAAAGAAAATCAGTTTTAGAAAAGACAATTTTAGAAAAATGATTCTGTCCATTCTGCTTGTCCTAATTTAGTTTACTACTTCACATTCACTTGTTTACACTAAATTAGTCTAAAAATTGTATATCTTTCAGGTTCGGTAATGAGAGAAATTTTTCTTTTTCTTTTTTTTTCTTAAACCTTTTTGCCTTGTATGATACTTCTTCTGAGCCTTCTTTTTCTTCAGGGAGAATGGTGACCATCACTGTCTTTGGCTGCCTATTGTCCAATGCCTGAAAATAGCTGGTATATATAATTTTTTTTGAATTTTTGCATTTTATTTTTTTATACAGCAGTTTCTTATTAGTTATCCATGTTATACATATTAATGTATATATGTCAATCCCAATCTCCCAATTCATCACACCACCACCAACCCCCTGCCACTTTCCCCTCCTGGTGTCCATACGCTTGTTCTCTACATCTGTGTCTCTACTTCTGCCCTGCAAACCAGTTCATCTGTATGACTTTTCTAGCTTCTACATATATGCATTAATATACAATATTTGTTTTTCTCTTTCTAACTTACTTCACTCTGTATAACAGTCTCTAGATCCATCCATGTCTCTACAAATGACCCAACATCGTTCCTTTTTAAGGCTGAGTAATATTCCATTGTATATATGTACCACATCTTCTTTATCCATTCATCTGTCGATGGACATTTAGGTTGCTTCCATGAACTGGCTATTGTAAATAGTGCTGCAATGAACATTGGGTTGCATGTGTCTTTTTGAATTATGCTTTTCTCTGGATATATGCCCAGTAGGGGGATTGCTGGGTCATATGCTAATTCTATTTTTAGTCTTTTAAGGAACCTCTGTACTGTTCTCCATAGTAGCTGTATCAATTTACATTCCCACCAACAGTGCAAGAGGGTTCCCTTTTCTCCACACCCTCTCCAGCCTTTGTTGATTGTAGATTTTCTGATGATGCCCATTCTAACTGGTGTGAGGTGATACCTCATTGTAGTTTTGATTTGCATTTCTCTAATAATTAGTGATGTTGAGCAGCTTTTCATGTGCTTCTTGGCCATCTGTATGTCTTCTTTGGAGAAATGTCTATTTAGGTCTTCTGCCCATTTTTGGAGTGGGTTGTTTGTTTTTTTAATATTGAGCTGCATGAGCTGTTTATATGTTTTGGAGATTCATCCTTTGTCCGCTGATTTGTTTGCAAATATTTTCTCCCATTCTGAGGGTTGTCTTTTCGTCTTGTTTGTAGTTTCCTTTGCTTTGCAAAAGCTTTGAAGTTTCATTAGGTCCCATTTGTTTATTTTTGTTTTTATTTCCATTACTCTAGGAGGTGGATCAAAAAAGATCTTGCTGTGATTTATGTCAAAGAGTGTTCTTCCTATGTTTTCCTCTAAGAGTTTTATAGTGTCCACTGTTACATTTAGGTCTGTAACCCATTCTGAGTTTATTTTTGTGTATGGTGTGAGGGAGTGTTCTAATTTCATTCTTTTACATGTAGCTGTTCAGTTTTCCCAGCACCACTTACAGAAGAGGTTGTCTTTTCTCCATTGTATATCCTTGCCTCCTTTGTCATAGATTAGTTGACCATAGGTGCATTGGGTTATCTCTGGCCTTTTTATCCTGTTCCATTGATCTGTATTTCTGTTTTTGTGCTAGTACCATATTGTCTTGATTACTGTAGCTTTGTAGTATAGTCTGAAGTCAGGGAGTCTGATTCCTCCAGCTCCGTTTTTTTCCCTCAAGACTGTTTTGGCTATTCAGGGTCTTCCGTGTCTCCATACAAATTTTAAGATTTTTTGTTCTAGTTCTGTAAAAAATGCCATTGGTAATTTGATTGCATTGAATCTGTAGATTGCTTTGGGTAGTATAGTCATTTTCACAATACTGATTCTTCCAATCCAAGAACATGGTATATCTCTCCATCTGT